GGTCCTTGATGAGAAAAAAGAAAAGTTCCTGCTCCTTCTGGAACCTTCCACCACCCTCTTTTGGAGATGTCAACTGACCTGGCTGAGGTTACATTCTTCCAGAGGCTCCCACCCCCAAGGGCCAAAAGTCAGGGGTCTTCTCCAGCGTCCCTCACGTGAGCGATCCAGAGCAGGACCCTCGGAGGCCGGAGTGGGTAACAGTATAAGGCAGAACAGTGTGGAAGCCAGTGCCATCTGGTCCCATCTGCTCCACTTCTATCTCTGCCCTCCCTCGGCCCCTCCTCCTTACTCCTCTACCACAAATCCTCACACACTCTCCTCTTAGCTTTTGAACTTGCTGTTCTCCATGCCTGGAAAACACACACACACACACACACACACACACACACACACACACACACACACCCCTTACTAGACAATACAACCTAATGCCAACCTTTTATATCTCTGGTCTTATGTCACCCCTTCAGAGAGGCTGCTGTGCCCCCTCCAAGTGGCTACCCTTCTTTCGTTACTCATCCCCTCCTAACCCTCCCCTGACAGGGCCACCTCTTCAGTTGAGATACTTTCTCTCCCACCTTGAGAAGTGAGCCCCGTGGAATAGGACTTTGCTTAAACACCACCGAATCCCCTGCTCCTTGCCTGGTGCTGTGTATACAGTATATACTCAACAGTGCTCTTCAAAACCGAGATGAACTCACGTAGGGAAGAGTTCACCGCCCCGGATTACAAGATGGTATCCCCGTGTGTCTGTGAGCTCCCTCAGCTCTCAGGGTAGAAACCATGGCCTTCATTCTTACATTAGGCAACGAAACTCAGCGGCTTTGGTCAGAATTTACTGGCTAACGCAGATCATCATGAGCTGGCTCCCAAAAGCTTAAAATGCCATCAGCCATATTTCATGGAAGAGAAAACTGAAGAGGTCTAGTCCCCTGCCTCAGCTGCCGTGCAGTGCTAGAACAACACTCAGTCCTGTGTTCCTGGACTCTGCTCCTACTCTGAGTCCCAGTATTACACATCTTGTCAGTAATCAAAAAGCTCCCCTGGCCTCTCAGACCTCGGGGCAGCTCCTGTGAGGGCCTGGCAGGGGTCCAGAGGCATTGGAGGAGAAGACAGGTCTGTGCTTTCAGAAAACAAACTTCCTATCATTGGTAATAAAGGCTCCTAAGAACAAATAATGGACTCAACCAAAATTAGACAAAAGTGAGACAAATTGTGTGTGAGAGCAATGTGCATATTTGCACGTTGGAGGAGTAATTATAAATCTTTGTTATAAATCTCCACACCCCTGTATAGTGTTACGGATACAAGGCTGACATCTATTAGGGAAGCATTGTTCCCAGGGCTGATGTGGGGATTTTTGTTGTCTGCACTTTGGAGCCTTTAATTAATAGATAAGCCCCATCCATTGCTAAGCTGATTCCGTGTGAGGGGCCTGGGGGAGCCGGTGGGGGAGGGGTGACCCAGAGCTAGGATGGCAACGACTGTCATGATCATTATGACTAAACTTCCTGACTGGAGGCTGTGTTCGAGGTTGTCTGGAAACCGCTTGCTTATTAGTAATGGGCTCTTGAAAGGTTACCAAGGGGCTGGTATGTTGGCATCCAATTCCTGGATGCTCTGTGACCACTGCATGGTAGCCTTGGCCAGGGACAGAGCCTCGGGAATCTGGAGGGGCTGTGATATTCTCTGTCCCCACACAGAGCTCATTAAAAAGGCTCTTGCAGAGTCCTCTGGGGTGTGGAAATGTGCTCTAGGGACTCAGTGGCAGCAGACACAGCTGTATGCACAATGTGAGTAGCCACCCTTGAGGTCACAATTCCAGAAAATGACTTGATGCCACTCTTTTCACATGAGTGGTAGAATGCTGTTCCTTCAACAGGCTTCACTCAGGTGGTATCAGGCACTCCATGATCAGAGTCAACACCAGAAAAAAATGGGTTCTGAAGAGGTCCAGTCCCTACCATGGCTGGTGTGCAGGGCTAAAACATGCTCAAGCTGTGGGCTTGGGCTCTCGGAGCACAGCAGCATGAGGCACACATTGCTTAAGGCAAGTCAGGTATACTATAGACTTAGCTGATGCTCCTGAATTTGTTGCCTCCGACCAGTGAAGCCAGTGTTCTCCTTCCCACTCCAGAGACTGGAAGTCTGAGCCCAAATACTCTGCAGCCCCAGAGCCATGCTGTCTGCCCTTCACTGGCACGCACGCCTCTTGGTGACTATGAAAGTCACCTAGGAAACGGAAACCAGAACAATGGTATTGTGGAATCCATAATGTATGGGGAAAAATTTTAAGGCTAGTTCTCTCTTTCTCTCTTTTATTTTTTTCAGGAATTGAAAAAAGAGATTATAAAGTGGTAAGAGAGTGATGTCTAGTGTCAAAACACGCGGCTGTGCACACTGTAATACAATTTTATGATTACTTAGCTCCAACCGAGAGCCATCACGCAGAGCCAGATGTCTGAAGTCTCTACATTTCCCAGAGCATCTGCTCGCCAGCTTTCCCTGTCCCCACCAGCCCCTCCACTCACTGCGCAGTGGTTCACTGCTGTGGAGTCTGGCACCTTCCCTTCCTATTGGGAATCATGCTCCAGGTTTCTCCCGCCGTGCCCCTCCCCTGCCCCTTGGACCAGCCTTTTCCTTTCCCATTTCTTTGCATGAGATTGAATCCAGCCTGTCTCTGAGATGCTTATGTTCTGGCCAAGCAGGCACCACATGAACATCTCTGTGATGACTGGCTTAAGCTCATTATTGGTTATAAGACCCAAATGCTGACGAAAGGTACAGAAGAGCATGGACTAGGATTATTGTAAAAACAATACATAAAAGAGAAACTGGCATTGGTGAGGCCTGAAACTTCTGAAAACTACACGGAGCCTTTACCGCTGAAGAGAAGAGGCCTACCGATAGACAGGTCCTGAAGTCCTTAGAGAGCCCCTTGTTCCAGTTCTACCTGAAGCAAAACCTCACTGGGGTTTGCATTACATAAACCAACAGATTGCCTGGATTTACCTGTTTGAGGTAGTCATAAGACATTTGTTTGAAGGTAGCAAAAAAGTCTTCCCTAGGGATTATCCTGTGCTGGCAGACAGCAGGGTCAAGACCCATTGGGTGAAAGAAAGTGATGGAAATGACATTCCAACCCATTAAAGTGAAGAACAATGCTGTGAAGTGTCAGTCTACAGATGTGTTCAGGCAGATTTGGGGTGTCTGCTTTTGAACCTGGTGTGGCTGGATAGAATGAGTTCAAAGCTCAGGTTCCTTCCTTTTGACTTCCCTTTCCTGTGAGCACCAAGAAAGAAATATCCCCAAGAGAAGGATCTCCTGGATTTTGTTTTTTTGAGACAGGGTTTCTCCGTAGACAAGGCTGACCTGGAACTCAGAGATCCACCCGTTTCTGCCTCCCTAGTGCTGAGGTTAAAGGCCACTCTTGCCCTGCTCTTTGGAACATTCTTACCGTCCTTTAATTCTGTATCCCAATTATTTTCTTTACAGAAATTTTTACAACTACTTTTAACTATAGATTTACATTTTTCCTTACTTGTTGATCCTCTAACTTGTTGAAGAAGGAAGAAAAGAATATATATCATAAACATTCACTAGTTTATAAGCACCTCATGTAGTCTCGCTGCTGCCAGGCACTATCACTGCTCAATGATTCCAGCCTGAGAGCTATAGGGCCAAGCACAGACAGAATAAGTCAAATTTTTACTGAGTTCTGCTCTTTGTGCTTCTGCCTGCCTTGGCTGAATCTCTTCCCCCCTGCCTGCTTTGGTTGAATCTCTTTCTTCTTACCTTAGGAAAAACAAATGCCTGTAAATCTACCTTAAGAAACAGTCGACACAGCTGTCTGGTTAGACATCAAAATCCTGTTTCCTAGAGCAAAAACGTCCTCATGGCTCCCAACAATGCCCTTGTCTGCAGACATGCTCGGACTGCAGTAGGCGCTTCCTGTCGGTGGTCACCGGACCCAGAGAGCACCCTCAGGCTGCAGGAGAATTCAGCACTGTTGCCCAGACTACAAAAGCTGGAAGAAGCTATGGGATGGGACCAGACTTACACAATACACTCTGACACATTGCCTGCTAGCAAAATCATGAATAAAGCTGAGCTCCCTGAGCGCAGTTACAAAAGTTGGGTGTCTGTAACATTCTAAGAATAGAAAGCATGTCCATGCTGTCTCCCTGCACTTCCTGCCCCTCACAATAGGTCTTCCAGCACGGTAGGCTTTCAGTTAGTGCCTTGTTAAATGGATGGAGAGTGAGCGTCACACCCCTGACCCCATGCTCTATGTGAAGTCACTTGAAAAGCAAGGGTTCCAATGGGACCCACATCTACAGCCACTGAGTCACCCTGACACATCCTACTGAAAGACATCTCATCCGCACCATTCAGCAAAGGATGCCAGCTCAGCAGAGGGCAGTGAATGCTTGCCACCAACACATTCGCTCTTGTTAGGAATATCGCTGTGACCTGTCCCAGTTTCTCTGCACAGGAAGTGGGCCCCGAGGGTACAGTACCCCTCTCTGCCCTCCCTGTTTTGTTGCTGAACGCCCAACTTTGCCATTGTTCCTTAAGATCACATGGGGAAGGAAACTCTCACTTACTGAACCTTCAAAGTGTATGATCACATCTGATTCTCTCAGCCACACTACAAACACTGCCCTAGTCGTCTTTATTTTATAGAAACAAGAAGTAAGGCCCAGTGGGGCCAATGACTTACCCGAAGTTACACAGACCGAACTTACAGACTTGAATCTGTGGAATCTTGCTTTCTGTTATTCCACACTTTGTTTTCTAATGTGACTACAGGGGCTGGAGTTATAGCTTGGAGGTAGAGTGCTTGCCTATCACGCATGAGGCACCAGGTTCAGTCCTCCAATACAACTATACATGTGTGTATACACACCTGTATAGTAAGTATATGTATGTACATGACATGTATGCACATATGATGCAGTACACTCTCTCTGGAGACCACTTGGATATATTCATGCCAACACATCAAGTTATCAGCATAATTTTATTTATTATTCCAGGAAAGCAGGGAACTACACAGGCCTATTAAGGACTCACACATTCCAAGTAAGTTGGGTGAATGTGGTTTTTAAGCAGCATACAAAGCCACCCTAAGACACAGCATACAAAGCCACCCTAAGACAATCTACACACTTCAGAACACATGAAAGAGCTCTACAGGCTGCGGCCTCTGTGTGGCGAGGAGCTCTGGAGACATCTTCTGCAAACATGCACATGCAGTCTGTTTCCTCTCCCACCAGGCCCCATCTCCTTCACCCAGCAATCTAAAAATCTGCCTGGAGACAGGGAGATCTGAATCCAAAGAGGACCTTGCCTCTGATTCTGGGTTATGTGAATCAAGGGAATCTACTTGTTCTTGAACACTCAATCATTTGCCTCTCTCTCTCTCTCTCTCTCTCTATGAGTGTTGAGATGGGACAGTCTCTCCTTCAGCGACTGCCTCTGGCTCCCCTTTCCCAGTGCCAGTGCATATGCTGGGCCAAATGGCTCAGTCAAATGGCTCCAGCTCCTGCAGCCAACTCAGCTACTGAAGAACACAGCTGTGCTCAGCCCATCCGCTCCACTCTGATCAGCTCCTCCTGGGGTAGAAGTGTGAGACTGATGGCTTTTAATGAGGGCTCTGGGAACTGGCCCCAATTCTGAATTTGTTGTACAGAACAAATTAGTTTGTTTTGCTCACCCCTTCAGAAGGATAGCTTCTCATCACAAGCAAGGGGCTCTCACTCCTTTAGGAGAGGCACCACCTTAGCCCAGGGTCTAGGAGCCAGGCTTTTCCAGACACACACTTGAAACCCTGAGAACTCTGGATGCCCAGACGGAACATTTAGCATGCCAGAAGCCTGGCCTCTCTGGACTCATAATTCCTGTCCCCAAAAAGGCTTTTCATTCAGCTTGTGGCCTCCAGAGTAGGGTCCTTAACAAGAGCCTCTGGTACTGAGAATACAGTTTGGATTTGCATTTGCATATGTCTTTTTTAAGTTTCTACTCGTGTTTCATATGCAAACTATCGGGAAGTGCTCCTTTTCCATCTGAGAGGAGGATGTGATCAGTGAAGTTTGGAGATCACAGACCTACAGGTACAAAGAACAGTTTCTCTGGATTCTGGGGTGGGGGTGGGGTCACAGGGACAGAGTGGTTGGGCTGATGTAAAACAGCTGTCGCTACTAGTGGTAATTTAGAGGTCTAGGGGTTTGAACTGGCCACTGGGCACACTGGTAGGGGACCTCCACTCTTCTCTGTCACTGATTGCAAGTAAGCACTGCTCCTGGGCAGGACAGGGCGGGGTGGGCGCGGATGTCTTCATGTGAGTGCTGGATGGAGCAAGAGATGGGGCAAAATCACACGAGGATGGAGTGGGCTCTAGCACGGGCAGAGGTCGGGGGAAGCTGACCCAACTCCATGGCGGGGAAGATCAAACATCTACATCTTCAGAGTAGGTGTTGGGGTTCTCCTGGGACCGGGTCACCACCTTGAACTGACGCCTCAGGAAGCCGCCGTAGCGCTTCTGGTTGTCCCACTTGAGCTTGGGGCGAATGCGCCGCAGAAAGCCCCCATAGCGTTTGTACAGGTCCTCATGCCCTACCCGATCCCCGTCCTGGCCCCCATCCTCGTCCCCAGCCATCTCGGAGCTTCTCTTGGGATATTTGCGCAAAAAGCCGCCATAGCGTTTGGCCGGTTTGCCCAAGTCCTCATCATTGAAACGGAGCGTGCCGGCCTGGATGGCTCCATCATTCATCTCATCAGCACCCATCAGCTCAGACTCCTTTCCGTCGCCAAACCTGCCGGAGAGACCCCTGAGCTTCTCCTCTGAGAGGCTGGTAAGAAACCGGCTTTTCTCCAGCTCCCTCAGGAGAGGCTCCAGGAGCTTGGTCAGGGTGCTGAAGCCTTCCTCCAAAGCAGCCTCGTTCTTCGAGGCATCTTCGCCACGGAGGCCGGAGGCGGAAAGGGCAAGGAAGGACAAAAACTCCTGGCACCTCTCCCACTCTTCTGCGGGCGGCACCACGTTCCGGCACTCCAGGGAGCAGATCTGAAAGGATACAAAGGAGAAGAGTCACTCGATGACTGTCATCATGTGAGGCATGAGAATTCAGACCTACAGAGACTAGACCTCCATCCCAAAGGCACAGAGACACAGGCGGCAATGCCAAAAGTAGAATCAAGATCTTCCAATTGTCCTGTGCCTATGCGTTCCCTCCCCACCTCCACCAGGCGTGGAGGGGGCTGCCCACACTTTACAGACAAGAGAGGTTCAGAGCAGCAGAAAGAAAGTGCGCAGGGAACGGGTCGCCTGAGGGTGTGTGTGCTGGGGGACCGTAGGCTCCACTCCATGGTGCAGTAGGGAGCATTGATGACTGTGAGGATGCTGACAGTCGTGAGTAAGGCTGCAGCTTGAGTTCTGAAGGTCCGCCGCGCGGGAGTCTCCACGCTGAGCCGCACTGCTTTCCTAAGAGTGAGTGCGGGCCTACCGTGTGAGGCCTACACACAACGAATATGGACTAGACAGACATCAAACACTTATCATGATCTCAGGGGATCGGTTCTCATTGTGTGGAGGGGGAAAGGGAGACTCGGGGAAGAGTCCCGGGGGAAGGGAGCTGGAAAGGGCCGAAGCCTGACCGTTGTCTGCCACAGTTCAGCCAGCAAACAGGACTGCGGTCCTTCTGCGGTGCCAGGTGAGATGGATGGGAAGGCGTGACTCAAAATAACATCAACAGACCCGGCAAAACATCTCAGGCCCACGAGAGGGGGTTTGGCTCCCAGCCCACCAAGGAGATCCTGACAGGGTCAAGGGGACAGCCTCTGCCAGGAGACTGAATTTGGAGTCTGCCCATCAGCTAGTAAAGGAAGCTTTGGAATGTGTCCCCAGAGCTCCAGACTGCAGAGCCAGCACCCCATGTCTACACCCTGTTGCCAGGCACTTGGCTGCCTAGAAACGTGGTCTCTGTACAGACCTGGGAGAGCCATGGTGATGAAATCTAGAGCGCAGTGGGAACTAGACATCAGACTCTGGTACCCAGCAGTCCGGAGGGCAGGAGACCGTGTGTACCAGCAAACAGCAGATACAACAGAGCCACGGCTGCCCAGGTGTACAACCCCCCTTCTCTGGGCTCCACTCACAAATAGAATGGTATGGAGAAGCCTTGCTGAGACCTACCAGGGGGTTGATGGGATGGAGTCCGTCCTGAGTCCTCACTGCACACAGGGAGCACAGGGATGGGCAGTCCGTGGCGACGTTAGAGGGCATCACGAGGAGGCAAGCTGCCAGCATCAGCCTGGACCACGCCATTCTGTCTCACTCTTCTGCTGGAGAGAGAAAAGGACAAGATGGTGAAGCGTGTCCTGAGCTGACAAGGCCATATCTCTTACTCACGTCTCACGTAAGAGCAGCCTGAGGCTGGCATTCTCCTTCCTATCCTGTAGTCAAGGACACAGGAACTAGGGAGGTAACGTCGGAGTCAAGGCCAGGGAACAAGGAACAGTTGGATGCTGAGTAATTGCTGCATCCTGGGATCTTGTCTCTATTGACAATCCATGCAACTGCTCTGCGAGGCAGGCTATGCTGTAGTCTTTACTTGACCGATGGAGAAACTGAGGCACAGGGAAGTGATTCTTCACAGCTAGGAGGCCAGTAAGCCCGTGTCTGGCCTGTCTACCTTCAAGGTTTGTTGCTATGTGCTGAGTCCAGAGGTTGGAATGTGCTCTTCCTGCACTTCTCTCTCTCTTTCTCTCTGCCTCTCTGTTTCTGTCTTTGTCTGTGTCTCTGTTTCTGTCTCTGTCTGTCTCTCTTTTTCTCTATGTCTGTCTAAGCTAAGCTAGAAGCAATCCTTGCACTGCTGAGTGAACACTCCTGCTCTTTCTCTTTTGTTTGTTTGTTTTAACAAGGTCTTTGAAACTCTCCTCTTTTGCCTCGGCATTCCTCCTCACTCTGACAGGTGCTTCACTTTCACCCTCTCTCCATGCTGGCCTCCGCCTTAGCTTCTCTGATTATAGCACAGACTACCCTTCTCAGCATATTCGTTCCGAGATGACACCCATCAGGTGGAGTGAGGCCTCACCCTCTGCCCTCGATGTCATGCATGCCTCAGTCTGGCCCCATCCTTAACCCCAACAGTCAGATCTGGGATCTGCTTTCATAAATATGCCAGGCTCTGCCTCACCTTGAGCACGCTGCTTCCTCTTCCCGGAGACCCTTTTCTCTCCTCTTGCTATTTGTCATTCCCTTCTTTGACTAGGTTTCACCTGCCAGGAACTTGTACCTCTTCCATCATAGAAGCACACCCCCTAACTAGCTGTGTGAGCATTCTCCCTCTCCAGGCATGGCGCATGCGCACACGCACACACACAAGCGTTCTGAACAAAGACTAATGCCTGCCTCCTCTGTAATACTTGTTTGTGGGCCTCTAACAGGCTAAGCTTGCTCCTGCCTCAGGACCCTTGTGCCTTTTCTTCCTCTCTCTCTGAAGTTTTCTGACCTGAGGTTTTCACAAGACCCTCTTCCCTGAATTCAATAAACTAAATGTCACAGGGCCAGAAAGGCTCACTCTAGCTGAAGTATCTGCTTGTACCGCTTCCTCAACTAGAACATTAGCTTTCAAAGGCAGGGACCTTGGCTGTCTTAACTTCCTATCCTAGCATTTAAAACTCCAGCCAGCACATGGTAGGCTTTTTGTAAATGCTTGACAGATGAACTGATGGCGTATAAGAAAGCCTGTTAAAAGTTGTCTCTTTAGAGGAGCGAAGATGTGAGGGGTTGGAGAGAAGGGACATGAGAAAGACTGGAGGGAGGAAAGGAAAGCGGAAAATAATGGAATTGTGTTTCAACTAAAGTAAAAAATTAATGTTGCTCCTTTCACAGTCAACTTTAAAAATATTCATTTTATTTCTAATTACATGTCTGTGTGTGGAGTAGGTTATATGCGATCCTTCAGGTGCCTGTGGAGGTGCCTGCACCCATGGAGCTGGAGTGACAGGCATCTGGGAGTTGTCTGAACCAAAGTTGGGTTCTTTGCAAAAGCAGTGTTCACTCCTAACAGTTGAATCATCACTCCAGCCTCACCAGTCAATTCTCCATAAGTCAAATCACTATGTAGCTCTTACAAATGGAACTGTGATGCCCCAGAGACCCCTAGCCAGCCAGCTGGGGCTTTCCTCTTTTCCTGCCCATACACCCTGACCTGCTGTCTCATCCACCTTCTCTCCGGGTTCCTGCGAACTGCTCTGCTTCTGCTCATATTCAGGGGCTCCAAATAGTCTACCCCTGAGCCAAACCTCTAGGATGCACCCCAGGACAGGTCTCATCTCCTAACGCATGCAGCAGGCTCCCCATCCATCATCTCAGTTGCCATTTTGAGCTGCTGCTGCCCTAAGCCCCTGCGGTCGCTTCTCTTGCTGGGAGTGGCCCGCACCCTGCCCCGAGCCGTGAAAGAAGCTGGGGCGCAGGGCCCACTCTCTTGACTCTCTCCACCCAATAATTGCAGTTTCTAGAACGGGTTTGAGTCATCAACCACTAAGTCTTCCATGAGTCCCAGCAACAGAGAGCGTTGACTGTGCTCCAGGCTTAGTCTACCCACCAGCTGAGGGGTGCGCTGTGGATTTGCTAGGATGCTGTGGACAGATTACGTCATCTTTTGCCCGCCTTCGAGACGAGAAAACTGGGGCTTAGGAACTTGGTAACTTGCCCAGGGTTATACCCAACTGTAGGCCAGAATGCAGGCCCATGTGCTTCTCTTGAGCCCGGGCCCCACTGCTGCAGGCGCAGGGAAGCGTGGAGGGGGAAACACAGAGCACTGTATTCGCATACCTTGTGTGTCTCTTTTCCTCTCGGGTTTTTCCTGTTGTCTATCAGAGGAGAAAAATCTGAGTTCTGGGTAAGCGAACGCACCATTTACATGCAGACAAAATAAATGGCTTTTTTTTTTTTTTGTCTCTGATACTGATGATAATAGGCCTGGCATGCTATAAGATTCGAGCAAATTAAACCCACTGGAAAGCCCGCGTCAGGGGTTGGGAGACTTCCCACACCACTGAGCTCTAAAAGAGAGCCAGTTTCGACCTCTCTATACAGAGCCAGTGCCAGCCTCTTTTCCTCTCCCTCAGCTTCTGTATAATGACGTAGGTGATGAAGTAGCTAAGTACCTGGCCTTCTGAGCAGCCTCTTGAACTAACCACTGCACTGAATAGCAACTGAAGGCCTGAGTGCTATTACCATGCCTGCTGTACAATGAGAAAACTAAGGCTTCCCAAGACTTCCCCTGGGCATAGCCCAAGGGAAACCGGCACCTGAGGAGTCTCCTGTAGAACTTGCCTTCTCATCCGATGGTGACCGCCCATGCTCCTCCATCTCCCTGGCCCACGCTGCAGTCTTCTGCCTCTGCCTGGTTCTGGACCTGATTCAAGCCTATCTGCCTGAATACAGTCTGCACGGTAGCCAGGGACTCTCCTGACACGTCCCTTTGATAGGTCGCTACCCAGCTCTGCACCAGCCCTTCGGGCTCTGCAATGCCTCCCAGAGGTCTGACCCTTCTGCCCACACCCACCATCCTTCCCTACACACAGAGCTTGCAGTTGGTAAGGGCACACGGTACGCGTGGCTGTGCTCATCCTGTACGCAGCAATTTGTGAGGCAGTCCTCAAGATAACGCCTTAAGGCTGAAACCAATAGTTTTCCCAAAGTAGAGAGAACATGGAGGCGCAAAAAGATGACGTAATCTGTCCACAGCATCCTAGCAAATCCACAGCGCACAGGCAGCCTGCTGTGTGTTCTGCCTGACCCGGGCTTACCCAAGCCACTTCAGTGTCACAACCAAGGACTCATGACTGCTGTCCCTAACCCTCAAACACCTGTTAGCCACTCCTTTTGACCTGACTAACATCCCTTCTTTAGAACTCAGCCTCAGGTATGAAACCAGGAAGTCTGTCTGCACCTGACCCCTCCTCAGAGCTCCTGCAGCTACCCAGGCTAGCTGCAGGACGTGGTTACCTCTGACTGTCTGAGTCTAACACAAGAGGGGGTTTTGTAAATACAAAGTTCCCGCAGCCTGAGTATGCACAGTGTATTTGCCCATGGCAGGGAGGCATTGAGAAAACCACGTAAAGGAGAAGCTGGAGTTCTGATACCAAGAAGGGGCAGAGGCCAGTTCCTGCCAGCCTGTGGGCCTAGCTACAGTTTTCATTTGTTTAGAAATGTCATGAGCAGACTGGGGAAGTTTGTACTATCAACGCATGGATGGACTGATGTACACATACATGGATGGATGGATGGAAGGATGGATCGATGTGTGGATGGATGAGAAGCTGAGCAGATGAATGGATGAATGATAAATGGTTGGTGTCCCAGAACGTCATCTAGGATTCAAATGAGACCAGGAGCTCCATACAAGTTTGTTGGGTGAATGGGTGAATGAACAGACATTTTAAAATGGAGACTTTTTTTTTTTAATTGAAAAAAAGAGAGAAAGTTCAATTTCCAAGTTGCTTGGAAAAAGAAAATAAAGTTAAAAGCCTTTGAGACATTGGAACGGCATTTTGTCCCTCGTTATGAGGGGGACACACACTCAGACCAGACCCCACTGCTCCTGCCGAGCACCTAACAGACATTTGTATCTGCCACACTTGGACAGCCAACTCAAGCAACTTGTAAAAGCAGCTTAAAGGGAGAGGGCTTCAGTGATTTTGAGAAAGGTGAGGCCTCCAATCCTGCCTGAGCCAGATGAAGGCACACTGAGTTTGTTGCGAGTACAGATTCCAGCTAGACACTTAACCACACTTGGGGAAAACTGACTTTGCTATGTATCAGTTTTCTCTGCTACACAGTGGAACTAATAACAAAGCTTGTGAGGGTTCGCAATCAAATGAGAGTCCATGTGGGCGCGCTAAGCCCATGGGTGGCTCACACAAGGCATTTTAAATAAGAAAGTACGAATGCAGTGGTCTGGTCTCATGTGGGCTACAAGGGAAGGGAAAAAAAAGCAAAAAGGACATAGGCCCGGCATGTGGCCAGATATATTCTCTGATCTGCATGGGGGCCTGCTGTGTGGAAGGCAGAGCTGGTGTCCTCACGGCCATAGCAATTCTGTAACAGCCTCTACCTCTCAGGAGCCTACTGTACCAAGCTTGTGCGCATTAGCTCCGAATCCCTAGAGGTGCTGCTGTTCCTTCATGCTTTCTGAAGAAGGGAAGTTCTCTTGTCTTGTGAACAGACGTCCAGCTCCCTGGCTTGATCCCTGAGGTAAAATGTGTCTTTACACACTGGCCTTGAGACCACCCCCATCTTATTTCCTCCTTTTTGTGAACACATAACTCCTGAAAAGCAGCTGTATTTACAAACTGATTAGCCGATTAGAAGTTCAGCACTGTGGAGAGGCTAATTTCCTTATTTTGGGTTAGCTTTAGCCCCCAGAACAACCATCCCTTGCCCACCTCTGTGTCAGAAGTAACATCCTGTGACTAATAAGTAAAAGACCTTTAGAATCTATTCTCTTTGCAGACCCGAAAGCTAAGAAAGTCATCAGGTAGCATCTTGGGCCTATGGAAAAGCTTCCCCCATCTTCCTCTACCTGCACCTCTGATGTACCCACCAACGTATTTTAAGTTTTCCTTGATTTATGGCTTTCTTTGTTCTGTAAAACTGTAAAACTTCATGAAACTTCCTCCACATCAGAACATGGAGTTTCCGTGCTTCTGTTTTCCCAGGCCATGGTCACTTAAGGTGGCTCCGGGATAAACTCTTATTCCCTTTAAGATGAGAGCTGTGGTTGTCTTGTTTTATCTTGTTTTGGTTTTTCTGGCACCTTTAAAGGATATTCAAATGACTGAGCGATGTCAGGTGGCTCCCGAGTGAGGGTGAGGCAGGGAGATTGCCACCTTTCCACCAGGGTCTGTCTGTTATGGACAGAGCTTGGAAGCCAGACCAGCTGCGCCACATCTCTGTCTGGGGCAGACAGAGGCAACGCAGCTGTGGCCTTCAAGGTATTGAGAAGTAGAAAGGCAAGCATGAAGATGAGCCTCAACCAGTGACCCGGAGGAAGGTAGGCTGGAGCCCTCCCATAATCCTCTTCACTTGGCACATCATGCACTGTGTCCTAGGGCACAGTCAGCACACACATAACAGCCCAGACATGTGGGGGAAAGAGGTGTGACCATCCTACCAAACAGAAAAGGACAATCTGGATATATCCTACACCATGACCACAGGATCAGAATCTTCCCTTTCCCTTCACAGGTGTATTCTATGGGTTTTTATGGGTTCCATATGTCTGAAGAACCCCTGCCCCACTGACGGCTACCCACAGGTGTAGCAACAAAAGCAACAAAAGCATCATCAACTGCTGAAACACGGGCAGCCCGCAAAGCCAAATGTGTTTACCATCTGAGCCTTCACCTAGGAAGTATGTGCTGTCCTGCTTCATTAGACTTATACAAGTCTGATAGTTTTCAGCTAATTTTCCTGGGTCTCCTGGAGCCATCTCCTGACAGAAGGCCAGGTGGGTTTTCTGCAGTACACTGGGGTCGCATCCTGCACCCTACAAATCCAGAGCCACTACTGGTAGCAGGACCCATTAAGGAAGAGAAAAGTCACCACTCACCTGGGACTTTAATACTCCTTGAGAGGTAAAACCATGGCCTCATCAGACAGCCCCTACGTCCCCTCTCTCTGGACAGTGTCGTTAAAGAACCAGAATAAAGGAGAAACTCTTTTCCCTCTTGATCCAGAATTCCTTGAAAGCGTTGGTTTTGTTTTGATTTGATTTGTGCCCTCTCCTCAGCTCGAAGATATTTCTACTGTAGTTAGCCAGGGCTCCAGAGGCAGCAAGCATTTTCTTTGAAAAGCCAGGGCGGAATAATAATGGCATGATTTAACATCACAATTATCTCTGGCAGCAATGTATGCATATGATTGTTCCCATTTGGAGGAAGAGGAAATGGGAAAAGGTAAGAATGAAGTCACTTGTGTAAGGTCACAGGATGAGTCAGGAGGACTCCAGCTCTCACACCCACCTTGAAACACGTCACCATTTCTGTGACCCTCCAGAGACAACCTTTCTGGAATCTATCAAGAATTGTGCCACTGCTCTGTGCCAGGCAGGATGCCTCTGGATGGCCCCTCAAGACAGGCTATCAGTAAAGGCTTAGGCTCCAGGGGAAAACTGTGGACTGAGAGAAACAGCACCATCTAGTGGCGGGGCTGGAACCTACAGCATCTTCCACCTGGGGGCTAAGTGCTCTTTATCTTTTATGTGAATTACCTGCGTCAGTGAGCTGGACACTGTCAGCCCCACTTACTGGATGGGAATACAGTGACTCTGAGAGACAGGAACTAGGCATAGAGTTAATCTGCTGACTGCACAAACTATCCCGAGGTATAAGGGCACATGGCATCTGGCTATCCTCCAGATGTTCACACACCCCTGAAGATGAAACCATTTCAGGACTTTTCACTTTATTGGAAAATAACAAGTTCATTTTGATAGATTCCCAAAGGGCTGGTAAAGGAAGGCTTCAAAACTTGGAAACGTTCCTTGTTGAGAAATGATCACTGATAGGGGATGTGTAAGCCATTTGCACAATGGCTCGGGTCCCGAGCAGAAAATGAGCCAACCTTTTGTTCAGCAAATATCAAAGCATGGGTACAGGACTAAGTCATACCCCAAGGTCACCACATTTGCAGGGACAGATAGAAATATGGGTCCTGCAGTCCAGACCACCATGGTCCAGTCTCAGGGATATGATTAGCTGCAGTTTTAAAGGAATGTTTCTCAGCTGTTGGATTTGTTAATAAATCCCCTCCCTTATTGTCATTTGGCACTGTTATAAGATAAGGAAAAAGACAAAAGGAAAATGAAAGGGCAGAGAGAGATAAAGAACCAGAGAAAAGGGATCCAGGGTCGGGGACAACAATGACAGTGTAGATGCTGGGGGGGAGGGTTGAATGGGAAAGAGAGGGGAGGGGCAAAGAAGATGTAAGGAAAATGAGGCAAATGCCAACATCCTTTCCTGCTCCTCCCTGAATCTGCAACTTGAGCTACATAATAACTGCTCAGTAAACCTTTATCAAGTTCAATTGAATTTTGTAGGAATAAGACTGGGGACACATTACCCTGGGTGAGTATGTCTGCCCCTAGTGACCAAGCATTCTGGCCACTGGGGTTAGGGTCGGAGAAACTGCTGCACATGTCAACTGCTTCACAGATGTGACAACTGAGATCTAGTGAGAGTATGGAGTGGGTTCCAGGCTGAGCTACAAAGGACTTGAGGGCATAGCTCAGCTGATGTTACTGTCGCCCCCTACTGTGGTCAGCTATGTTTTAGCACCTTGTGAACCCCACTAAGATCTGCTAATCGCTCACCAGCCTCAGTGGCGAGAGAAATCATCTGCTGACCACACTTGCTCAGAAAGCGAACCTCTAAAACCAAACCAGCAACTACTGGCCCCTCTAAGAATGAGGGAGAGATTTAATAGATAGACAAGTGATGCTAGGAAAACTGGAGGTGGGCTGACATATCAGGGAGGGACTTGGTTAACCAGGGGTGGGGTGGAAGCCTGCCATTTTAAGTCATTCGAGAGTTGATCATAACAGCAGTTACTGAGTTCCTACCAAGTGCCAAGTGCATACAGCCTTCCATAGACGATGCATAATAATGTGGGGGGGCATTATTAATATCATCTTCTTTATATTGGTAAGGAAATGAAGACCCGAAAAGGGAAAGGGTCACACACACTAAGGTGACACATGGAAAACTCTTGAGGCAATGCTCAGGAAGTCCTGGGAGTCTTCACAGCCTTCCGCATGTTTTCTCAAACTGCCCAGACCCAAATACTTGAGTCGCCTGCTGTGGCAAAAACAGTGGGTCAAAACAGCTTCCATGTGACACTATGCTCCCAGCGGCCAGCCTCTCCTGGAGACAAGGGGACTCTGCCACCCATCACACTTAGCACAATGAGGACAAAGCAGAGGGCTCAGGATTGTCAGTATACACACACACACACACACACACACACACACACACACACACACACACCATAACTCACCCAGCTGGGGCTACTTCAAGAGCTCCCCCTACGCAGATCTCAAAGCCTGGTGATGAATGACCTGCACAAACAACAAAAGACAAAGTGGGGTAGAATGGGAGCACTGGGGAGTGGGGGAACAGAGAAGGAAGGTGAGCAGAGCGTAGGAGTAAGAGCCCCACGAGAAGAACAGAAAGGGACTGACAAGCTGAAAGGTTTTGCAACAGATCTTGACAGCAATGCCTGTCAGATGAGAAAGACAGCAGTGTGTATTTCACCAACCCTTGGCAGAAGGGTGATAATGAGGCTTTGCTATCTGTGGGAGGGTACTTGAAAGCAGAGCCAATAACCTAAAGAGCTTGGGAGCTTTATTAAGGGATACTTGTAAATCTTAAGAGGTTCTCAGAAAAAGAAAAATACCCCGGGGAAAAAGTAACGAATCACAGAATTTACTTTTCAACCTTGGAATTGTCTGCAGACGCCTTCTCTGAAACTCACCAGCTTTTTTTTTCTTCCTGATGTCAAACTTTGGGGTTTCGTAATAGTTATACTACTTTCCTTGAATGTGGGCATTGTGATAGCAGAGCCCCCGGCTTTCCTGAGGTGAGCTTCCCCCAAGCCTAACTTAGCTGCCTCCAGCTGTAACGTGGCTGTAATTTACGTGAAAGCAACAAGTCTTTTCAAAGTAAGATAGACGAGAGAAGTCCTGCTCGGGCTGGGTAACCAGCCATGCTCCCACTTTCTTTCCTCATTCTCCTTTCAATCAAAGGAAACCCAGACTTCATTTTGAGTAAAATCATAGCACTGAAATTAGCACTTTGTCAGTGATTAAGCATGATTCAAAAAGAATAAAAAGGACAGCGCTTCTTTACGCATTGATGGTGTGGATCGATACTTGGCAGATGCCGAGTCCTCACCCTCGTTAATGTTCCCAACCCTTGTAATCTAAGTCCAGTGAGGATGTCGACCTTTCAAACCCGGCTAATTAATGGAACCACTTGGTCTTCCACCCAGGCTGCCCCTTTCCCCCTCGGAGCCTGAAAACCAGCTCGGGGGACTTCCGTGTGGCAGAGCCAGAGCACAGCTAGTACCTGTGGAAGCCAGGACTGCACCGGGCACAGGTTCCAGGGGGCAGGCAGCTGTCTGAACTCACTGACCTGGCTTTAATAAGCTAGCCTTGAAACTCTGACTTCCTGTGCTGAATAATCAGAACCAAACCTGACTTCCCCCAGCCCAGGCTCCCACCAATTCCCTGCACAGCGTAGATGCGCAGAGCCAGGATGTCTGCGCTCCCTGCGGCTCTTACCTGTGCCCTGCTTTGTCCCTGGTAGGCTTCTGGCTGATCAGATGGTAGGGTGGTTGATCCAAGAATCAGGAGGCACCCTGACTCCAGCTCAGAGAAGTGCCACAGAAGAGGCTGTGAGGGCTACCAATCCCCCTCTGGCAGTTCTGGAGCCTTACCCCCCCTTTTATGTCCGAGAGTCTCCCCCTGTGGCTCAGCCCTCTCAGCGCTAGCTCACAGAGCACAAGCCGCCAGGAGCCAATGGGGAAGTGGCAGAGCAGTCAGAGCTCAGACCCCCAGTCCTTCCACTCAACTCCTGGGCCTGAGTGAGACACAATAGCTGCTCCGGGTGGTGTGATGTGGAGGAGGATGCTACCGCGCAGTCTGGGGGTGGATTCTCAGTGTAGTGCTGTTTGTCACTTCAAATTCGACCACTTTCAGCATTTTCAGGAGAGTGTCACAGGCAAAGAGAGACAAAGGTGGGGAAAGGCAGACCGAGGAGGGGACAGAGAAAGACTGAGAGATGCAGAGAGTCAAAGAGAAAGGCAAAAGGAAGTCGGCAGACGGAATGGAACAGAGAAAGGTGATGTCTGAGACAAAGCAAGAAAAGAGGCAGACCCACCGCCACAGAGGCTCTATCAGAGACCAGGAGATGAAGTAGGAGTGGGATTCACAAGTAAAGGAATACTGGGACACGAAACAAAGGCTGCCTCAAAATATAGGAACCAGAGGATGCCCTGGAGTGTCCGAAGTAGAGTTCTTGGTTATGGAAGAGGAACATTCAGCTCCATGTTGGCTGGGACACACACACACACACACACACACACACACACACACACACACACACTGGCATGTGTAATGTACGCTAGTGTACACTTGACTGAGGATGCCAGTTGACTTGGGCACCTGTCTGAGTCAATGCCAGGCATTGCCCTTCCTCACAGTCAGGAGCTGCCGTTCAGTTTTCAGTTTTCTCTGGCAGCAACATGGAACGAATGTTGTGACATCCCTCCTCTGAATACTGGCTATGAAGTGCCTTTGTGTGGCTCTGGGTAGGAACACACCTGGTTGTGTGAACCCTCCACCGTGCCCTGAGCAACCTGAAGGTTCTGCATGGCTGCAAAGACCTCTCACAACACAAGCACACACGCATCTTCAGTCAGCAGCAGAGCTGCTTGTCATGGCCGGGAGAGTGTCAGAGGCTGGCCCGGAAGTGCCTGTCACGAACGCCTGGGTGGCACCAGGCAGTGAGCAACGATGTCAAGTTTAATGCTCATATCCTCGCCAGGTGCAGCAGCAGAGGCTAAGAGAGCTGAGAAACTGGACACAGAATACAGCAAAACAGTCACCAAGCCATCATCCAGACCTAGACTGATCTGGCCCTAACCATCAACTGTACAACTGCCCACCCTGAAGACGTGGTTCTGCAATGTTGTTATCTCTAAGACTCAGTCGGTAGATGAGAGCTACAGCTAGTAACACTCAAAGTGTGGGTTTAATTTCTGCCTCTGCCACTCACCACTGCAGAGTCCTAAGCCTCCATTTGCTCATTTGTAGAATGGGGGAAAGAGACCCATTGGGATCTTGTCATAGCGAAAGGAGGAAGTGCCAAGAGCATTTGCTATAGTTGGCACATGGCCAGTACTTGCCTTCAGCTGCCCTCCTGGTAACAGCGGGTAACCAAACATGCTCTGATGCACAAACCATACTTTATACTTCTCTGGGGCACCATCCTCTTCCTGCCACTGGGTCGTTATACACTCCCGTAGGGCTAGGATGACAGAAGGGGCTGTTTGATGAGTACCTAGTACGTCACAGACACTGCCACTTGTTTCGTTGTACCCTCAGAAAAGCAATGTTATGGTGTGGTTGTCAGCCTGCAACTTTGCATAATTAAGCAGCTGGAATGGGCTGTAGTGCTAGCCATGCAGGGGGAGTGGAGAGGTCCTGGCTATCCTTGTCCCTCTGGCCTTGACTCCAGGCCCCCTGACCTCTCTCATCTCTACCCTACCCTAGGCCTTCCTTCTGCAGGATCCCTCTCCCAAGATGAATAAAGTGCTGGCTCTGACAGGCAGGAACGCACAGCTTCCGGGCACACCCACGGCATCTGGTGGCTGTCTTCCTGCTTGCCGAGCTGGAGCCCCCGACTGTCTCTAGTCACTGTTACCCAGGGAACTCACAATCTGAGAATGAACTGTTTCTTCATCCTCAGGGTCAAACTCTGATGCCATTTGCCCCCACTTTTCTTAATCTCCCCTCTCCTTCTCCTAATTTCTACCTCGGTAAGCTCTCAGCAATAACCTTGGAATAGATGAATGCTATGAGAGATGAGGCAGAGTCACTCCAGTAGCTGGAAGTCAGCAGGCAATCGAAAGGGAGAGAAGAGAAAATACTACATCATAAAGAGAAGTAAGTGCAGTGAGGCAGAGAAGCTCAGTCTTGAAAAGCCTTCGTCTGAGTCTATTATAGCTTTAAGAGCAGCTATTTAATCCATGTATTTTTCCTCTCTATCTGCAGTGTCCTTTAAACACACACACACACACACACACACACACACGCGCGCGCACACACACACACACACGCGCGCGCGCGCACACACACACACACACACACACACACACACGAAGACTAGAAACAGACTCCTTATTCCTGGAGAACCCTAACCCAAGGTTTCTCCCTCCCTTAGGCCTGGGACACCCCTCCCACTTGGGGTCCTAATGCAGGCCTTTGAGCACCTTCAAACAGAGTTCTCTGGAGTGCCCTGTGTGCTTCCCATATCCGTCACAACAGCCGGGTACCTCACTCAGATGCCCAGATGCTGGAGTCATCCTCAGAAAGCAGGGAGATAGCGCCAGTTTACAGAGCTGTCAGGACCAATTCCTGAGTTCTCTCGTGCTGCTTGCCTGCCTGTCCTCAGTGAATGATGGGCACTAATTCAGATCTCGGAGTGGACAAGAAACAAAGAATAAGGGAAGGAAGTTCTTGAAACAATCAGCCCTCAAGTTGTGCTGACAGAAAGGTTTCAGGAAGATCATGTTAGGAAACAGAAAAGAAAAGAAAATTAAAGCCAGCTCATATGTTCTCCACTGTTGTAAACTCCCTCATCTAGCAACCATCCTGTGATTATTATTTGCCTGCTTGCAGAATAAGGAGGCAAATGAACCACCTCAGAATATGCCTATCCAAAGATGTGAAAAATAATGAAAACTTTAAAACACTGAAGAAAAAAAAAATAGAAAAAGACACTAGAAGATGAAAAGACCATGGATTGGGCGAATCAATGTCGTGAAAATGGCTATCTAACCAAAAGCACTTCTCATCAGAGTCCAACATTACGCTCCACAGAAACATAAAATATGTTAAAGTCCCTATACAAGCACAAAAGACCCCAATAGTCAAAGCCATCCTAAGTGAGGAGAACATTGCTTGGCAGAATCTCTGTACCCGATTTCCGTATGGGTATGGTACTGGCACAAAAACCAACAAGTAAATCAATGAAACACAACTGAGGACCCAGGTACAAAAGTACGTGGCTACAGCCCCCCGAGCTTTGACAAAGATACAAAAAATGCCTACTGGAAAAGGACCCAGACACAAATCCATGTAGCTACAGCCACCTGAGCTTTGACAAAGATGCTAAAAATACACATTGAAAAAAAGGACAACACTTTGAACAAATGGTGAGGGAAAACTGGATAACCACACATAGAAGAATGAAAGTTGAGTCTTACTTTTTACTCTGCACAAAAACCAACTTCAGATAGATTAAAGACCTAAATGTAATTCCTGCAACTTTGAAACTTATAGAAGAAAAAGTAAGGAAATGTATTAGTTTCTTTCCTGTTACTGTGATAAAAATACTATGAACAATGCAGTTTAAAGAAGAAAGAGTTTAGTTAGGCTTATGGTTTCAGGGTCTGTCAGGGCATGGAGGCATGGGAGCAATCAGCAGGAATGCGGCAGGAGCCAGAAGCTGAGACATCACATCTATGAATGTAGGCATGAGGCAGAGTGGAGGAGGTAGCCAACTGGAAATAGGGTGAGTCTGTATAATCTCAAGGCCCACACCCAATGATTTGCTTGTTCCAGAAAGACCACACCTCTTAAACCTCCTAAACAATAGCGTCAACTGAAGATCAATTTTTAAATACCCGAGACAATGAATGCCATTTTTTCATTCAAACCATTATATTCTATTTGCCCCTCCCATAGGCTAATGGCTATTAAGATGCATTTAGTATAACTTCAAAGGTCCCCATAGTCCTTTTAAAGTCTCAGCACTGTTTACAGACAACAAAGCTCCAAGTCTTTTCTTGAGGCTCAAAACAATCTCTTAAATTATAACAGGAAAAATGCAAGTTACGTATTTCCAACATAGACTAGTCACTACCATTCCAATATAGAGGAATGGGAGTACAGCATGAAAAAGCTGGACCAAAGAAAGACCAAAATCCAGCAGGGCGAACACAAAATCCTGTAGCTCCACATCTGACGTCTAGATATTAGTTTGAAAGAGCAAAGATGGCACTAGCTCTCCAGGTTCACTGCAACATGCGTCTCTCTCTTAGGGTGATTCCACTCCCTGGATACAGATCTCCTTGGCAGGTGTCTATGACGCTGGCATCTCTAATATCTTGGGATTTCCACCAAAACCCAGGCGTTATTTTCCCAGTGTGACACAATGGCTTTGCACAGCCTTTTCCCCTTCTCAGGGCCGTCATGCAAGGACTGCCCCACCACAGCCCGAACTCAACATCTCTCTGAAGCCATGGAGGAAGAACCCAAGGCTCCTTCACTCTTGTATGCTTTATGACTCTAGGACCAGTACCACATGGATGATACTACCAAGTTAAGCTACCGGCTTGGGATAGACCACTTTGGACTGCAGTCTGGCAGCTTTTGTTTGTTGTTGCAAAGTTTCCAACTCGGGAAAGAGAGCTACTAATGTGGTTGAAAGGTGTCTTCAGAGACATGAAGGATGTAAGAACGAAGGTGTCGTGGATTTTTCCTTCACAGCTCTGGCATCTCCAACATCTTGCGGTCTCTACTGAAACTCTGGTTTCCTTTCCACAGCTTTACACAATGGCCATCCACATTCTTTTTTTCCTCTTAGAGTCCTCAAGCAGGGCATCCCTGATTTCTGGTCTCAGAAACATTTTTCCCTTATTCCAGTGCAGAGCAGGGCAGAGCAGAGCAGAGCAGAGCAGAGGTCCTTCTCCTCCTCCTCCCCCTCCTCCACCTTTTCTTCCTCTTCCTCGTCTTTTCCTTCTCCTTCTTCTTTTTCTTTTTCTTTTTCTTTTCCTTTTGTTTTTTTCTAGACAGGGTTTC